ATTAAGTTAAAATGAGGCTTTTAGGATGGATCCTGATCCAACCAATGGATGTGCTTAAAAGAAGGGAGAATTTGGACACACACAGAGACACCAGGGATGCATGCATGTAGATCAAGGCGAGACCCTGTGAGGACACAGTGAGAAAATGGCCATCTGTAAGTCAAGGAGAGAGATGTCAGAAAGAACTAAACCTGCTGACACCTTGATCTCAGATCTTTACTTCCCAGAGCCTTGAGCAAACAAATTTCTGTTGTTTAAACCACCCAGTCTATAGCACTTTAGTACTTTAGGCAGCCCTAGCAAACTAATATCAGGAGGAAAGTATGAATAAGTTCAAGATTAATCTTCAGAGATTTGCCTCCCTCCCTGATCACCCAGAGTTCTAGTAAAGCAAACTTCTTCAGGGCTGATAAATTCATTTACTAAAATGTAAAATGAAATACACTCCTCTTTTAGATTCAAAATCTGAGGCGAAAGGAATCAAGTTCTTACTGTAAAATTTCGTCCCGCAGCCAATAGGGGCAAGACTTTTGTGTGTGTGTCTTGTTTTTTGTTCTGATATCTTATCTCTCCTCTCTATGATATAGCTGCCCCTACTCCACACCACCCAGTGATCCACATTGAAAGTCCTGAATAAATTTACACGAGGATATTATATTCATCCCATGGTGGTCTCTCAAGAACAAATTAATCTCCAGACCCACCACTTTCCAGTGAATTTTAGAGAAGAAAAACAATGCATCTAGAGGAGCCAAAGAAGGAGAAAACAATTTAATTAATTCATCACCAAGGCCAAAGATATATAAATCTTATCATTTGATCTGTCAACCATCACTATGAATTATTCAACTCCCCGAATCTCAAGAAGGAAGGCGTAAAGTGGTTAGAAAGCAGCTGGCTGAGCAGAAGAAGGCACTCAATAGATCAAAGCAAAACAAGCCCCCAAGGCTGAAAAAACTTTGGGGGTGGATCCCTGGGATAAGGAATGAGCCCAAGAAAGACTCCGGGATCATGTGTCACAAGTGGGCCCACCACCACCACTTCTGCTAAGATGGTTTGAATAGGACTTTTATACCCCCTCCTTTTCACACACCCTGGTTTCTGAGCAAGAGTTCTTCCTGCAAATATATCATGGTGTGTTCCCTTTTAAAACTGAGCTTTCCAAGAGTTCTATGTCCTCAACTAGTCCCCACAAATGTCTACAGAGGCAGGAAGCTCTGCTGTTTTGTAGAGGATAACATTTAAGGTACATACAAAACCTTGAATTCTTAGGGAAATCTGCTTTTAAACTACAAATACTGAAGCATTTTTTAGGCAGACATACATTGGAGGTTTTGTTTGTTTGTTTTCTGTTTTTCAGTAGAGACAGGGTTTCCCCACCTTGGCCAGGCAGGTCTCGAATTCTTGACCTCAGGTGATGCCCCCACCTCGGCCTCCCAAAGTGCTGGGATTACAGGTGTGAGCCACCGTGCCCAGCCACATTGGATTTCTTAAAGGTGAGAGAGAGGGAAAAAAGAAGGAAAAAAATATACAAAAGTCACTTATGTAATTAAAGTTTGGTAAACAAATATATTTTACTATTTATATATCTGTAATCACTAAACTACCTTGCACTTTGATTTAAAAAAAAATGATATTTACATATGGAAATAAAGCCAAAGATGAAAAGGAACCTAGAGGGATATTTTAAATAACAGGATAATGTAAACCTTTATTTTATAAAGGATATTTTGATTTTATATTAATTTGGCTTGGTATTTGGATCTCTACGCACTCCTTGCACTTTTTAAAATATGGAAGCATATATATATATATATATATGCTTTTGCAATTATTCCTAGCTGATCACCACAATGTCTTATTTGGTTCTGTATCTTCAGCAGTAGCATACAGCCTGGCGCAGAGTACGTGCTCAATGAGTATTGACTGAATGGTGAACAGAAGAGAGCATGAACGTGGGGTGAGGACTCTAAGAGAATGGGGAAGGGCCTACTAGATTCCCATTAAGAAGAGGGTTAATCCCATCCTGAAACACAATCCTAATGTGAGACACTTTGCAGCACCCCAGGTAAGTGTGGCCTTAGTCTCCCTAATTCACAAAGAATCCCAGCATCCTCTAGGCTGTCCCGGGATAAAGGCTTTCAGTAAATCTATAATATAAACAATTTTCTAAAGCTTGGAACCAAGCACAGGCAAAAGCGTAGGTAAAATATCAGCTGTTTGGAGGATTTCTGTTTCTTCCATCTGTCTTAGCACGAATCCCTCTATAGGGCTGGATAGTGAGGAAAGGGGGTTGGAGCACCAACTGACGAACAGCAGCTTTGAGGACTTTGGGTTCTCAGGAAATGGGCAAGAGGAGAGCAAGTGTAGTTAAAAAACGAACAATCTCTTAAGTCCAAAGAAGATTCTGGGACTCAAGGCTCTAGCTGTGTTTCATACCAAAATCAAGGGCATTTACTTCTTCACAGACAATAGAGAGTGCTGCCTTTAACTCTGGAATAAGATTGGCAGTAAATCATCAGTAACAACCATCAGTCTCTTGGTGCCATGCCTCCTACCACCTCCACCCAAATTATTTTTTAAAACAATTGCTGTTCGCTAGGTCTTTGTCTTGGACTAGGAAAAAGCAAGTTTACACCAAGTAAGAATGAGAAGTGCATTAGCAAAGCTCTGTGGGGTCTTCTGGTCCTTTTAGTTAGAGCTGCAAAGGGTCACAGCTTGGGTGCAGAATGGGAGCCAGAAGTAGGGATATCTTGTTGATTGCTGCTTCTCTTGATTTTATGCTCAAAAACACCAATTTAATATGCAAGAAGTCTACTTAATACAGACGCATTCACTCTCCAAGCCCCACATCAATGAGTTGGGACTTCAGGATTGAAAGAGGATTCTGAAGAGTTGAATTCATTAGCTTTCTTATCTCAGCCATGCCAGACCCTGGAGTTCACTGTACTCTACAGCTCTGGTGGGTCTGAGGGCCTTTTCTGGGGTCTCTAGCCATTTACTTACTTTCTTCTTATTTTCCATCACACTGAATCTTATCAGATGTAGGTTAATGAGAAACCAGACTGGGGACCAGTCAAAAAGATTTAAAGGAGACTGAGGGACTGAGCAACCGATCCTGAAGAAATAAACTAAATAAAGGGTCATGTGTAACCTGTGCAAGTCTCAACCCCTTTATGACAGAGAGAGAGAGAGAGAGAGAGAGAGAGAGAGAGAGAGAGAGACTGACTCTGACTTAGGGACCCTAGGGAAGTACTGCTCTGCAAATTCCATCACTTACTAATATCTGCTGTAACTGTTTACATCGCGAACAAAAGACATCAAGACCCTGCCATCCATACCTCTGATGCATAATCTTCCTCTCCCTGATCATTTACAATAATTAGCAAAATTTAGCTAATTATCTCTGAGCATTTCCGTGTTTAATTATGGCTATTAGTAATAGTCTGTCTGGCTTCCCCTCTCTCCACTCCCTTTTTTTTTCTGTCTTACCCACTCCCCCCAGTCCCTCTCCCCCTTAGGAGCTAAGTTTCCATGTCAATGAAATTGCTTTTTTGGTGGTTGTGGCTCTTTTCTCTCCTAGGTTTGTTTGCTTCTTTCTTTTTTAAGGGAGCCAACACCAGACCCAGCAGGAGTCACAGAGAAAAGAGCCACCAAACCAAGATCAAGCAATCCCTTATTTTCACCATCCCCCTCCACCAACCTTACAAGCTGCAAGCTGCAAGCTGCTTGACAACTCCATCAAATAAAATTTGAAGACAGAGTCAAAAAGAGCCAGAGTATGTGCTGGCATTTTCTCAATGTGCTTCCACTTACACTACAGACAGCACAGAGCGGAAGCCCAGGGCTAGGAGGCAGCAGGAAGAATCAACTTTCCAAATAGGGTCTGGATGTTATCAGTCTTCAAAATACAAGGGCAGGAACCCCCTAGTATGGTTCACGCTCCTGTTCCCTGGAGGGCTGCTCCTGCAGCCAGTCTCCGTTTGTGTGTGTCCTACTCTCCTTACCATCAGAGTGGAGTGCATAGTAAACAAATAAAGAAGCTCCTTCCTTTAGAATGGTTTACTACAGCAAGCTCTTACCTTAGCTGCAGACATCGCCCTTTTAGAGGCAGCCGGCTAAGAGCTGAGTATCATTTTCAGAGCCATAGATCTCTTCCTTCAATAGCTATGTAAGGAGGGTTGTTTGGAGTAAAACACATCATACCTGTATTGTGTGAACAAGCCCATCTCTGCTACCTAAAAATGAAATAACATTTCCATACACGGGGAATTGAAGTTACTATCGTTTACACTTGGGTAAATTATAAATGAACTTAGTCTTATCTTACATATTGCTTCCTCACTGATAGCAATATTAGATGTGTAGTTTTAGATATAGTTGCTTTTTCCACTAGACATGTGGACAAACATAAAGCTGCCAAAATCAACACAAATGGCCACGGGTTGTTAATTATATTTTCTGCCTTCTTATATTCAGCTACTTTTCCCTGACCATTACCACACAGGCTACTTTATAACAGTTCAATCAACTTCAGGCTGAAAACCTGATTCCTGTTGTCAGCTATTCCCACTCCACCCCCACTAGTTCCCAAGCAAGCCCCACAGCAAAGAAAAGTGAAAGCAAGGTGAACGAATATTTCTCCAAGTACAGCATTGGGACTCACCTGGTAAGTTGCCTGTCTCTGTAGGGGTGGAGAGAGTAGAAGGTTGCAAAGAGAGTGTGGTGTCTGTGCATCTATGAATGAGGGAGCGAAGGAGAAAAGAAGCCTTTAGAGAAAAGTGGAGGTGGGGGTCGCCGGCTAGGGGCAGAAAACACTAACCTTTATGAGAAAGTAGAAATTTGCTTCCCTCATGGACATACCATGCTTTTCATCATTTTAAATTCTTCTTCTTTTTTTTTTTTTTTAAGTCTCTTCCCACCTTTGACACTACCTGCAAGGCGAGTGGGTTAAGGAATTGCTATGCCCCATTAGAAGGATAAAGAGCAGAGAGACCTACCGTGCCCTCCTCGAAGGGAAACAGGGGAGCGATAGATAGAAATAGGCACTGAGTGATGCTTGCTGCCATGGAAATGGTGCTCGTGCTGAGAGTGAGACCCCGGCGAGGATGAGGTGGAGGAGGAGGAAGCTACATTAGAAGAACTCCATACAGAGCTGACGATACATCCCCAGAACAGGGACCAGATCCCAAGCGTCCAGGCCGGCCGGCGAGGAGGGCTCCGTCTCGCGTGGATTCTCAGGTGCATGGTCAACGCACGGGACCACTACAGATGGGCAGTTTGAATTCCAGCCAGTGAAGAGTAATGAAGTTCATGATGCCCAAGGGCCCATCATAGCAGGAGGAAGAGTTGCCAGAATTTGGGGAAGAGGGAAGCAATATGCGCTTTCAAGACAATGATGTTAGAAAAAAAAAAAAAAATACTACTTAAAGAAAAAAAAGAGATAAAAGGCAAAGCCCCTTCTCTTTCCCGGGGCTGAAATTTAGGATGCCAGAGTCCTCCCAGGTATAGCAAACCTCCTAGGGAGCCCCGGCATGCCACGCATGTCAGGGGAAGACCGGCGCGGCTTCCTCCGGATCTCTAGGCACCGCGAGTCTGATGACTTAACTGCACACTCCTGGGAGCCACACAAGAAAGGTGGTAATGAAGGAAGAGAAGGAGGTAGCCCGAACCCCAAGTGGGTTCAGGTGAGTTTATCCCAACATCCAAGGAGTTTGAACATTTTTATTTTCCTGTTTCCACTTCCATGAGATGCAATGCAGAACTGCCAGGCAAAAGGGGGCTGCAGGTGGAAGAGTTCCTCGGGTGTTCCTGGGAGTCTCCGGGGAAGGGCGCGAGGCTTTTAACCCTGCACGTGCTGAACTAGCGCCACGGAGCAGCCGCCGGCTTCCTGGGTTTCCCAACTGGATGAAAGGCAGCAGCAGCAGCAGCAGCCACCGCAGCCAGAGGAAGAGAACAAGCAGGACTGGAGGGAAAGAGGAGAGGAGGAGGAACCCGGTGCGGAGCAGCCACTCAAACCAACGTGGCACGGGGTGGAGGGAGGTGGGTGGGCGAAATCAGCGAGAGCGCAAGAGGAGGTCCCCGGCAGGCAGCAGAGGTGGCAGAGAGGCTGGCGGGCGCCTGCGAAGTGCGCGGACCAGGGAGGCACAGGTGAAGTGAAGCGAGGAGTTGGGGAGCCAAATTCACAAATGGGCAAGTCATATGCAAATAGCACACTCCCGAGAGCAAATCAGTGCAGCCCCAGCGCTCTGCCGAGGGACTGGCTGGCTCCGGAGGAAGGAGGGGCCAGAGCGACCCGGAATCCCGGCCCTCCCCATTCAAGCACAGGCTCGTATACAACCGCGCGAGCCTCCAGCACACGCCGCCCGCACTCCTCTCGTTCCCTCGGCTCCCGCTCCGCCGTGTGTGCGCGCGTGTGTGACACCGACAGACCGACACTGCACCTTCTTTATCACCCTTCCCCTGCTCCTCTCCCAGGCGCGTGTAACCAAACTCGGGCCATGAAGGCACCTTTTCGCAATTTGAGAGGAAAACTAAGGGCGGCGGCTAAGGCCGAAGTAGCTCCAAATAGAAATAAAAATAAACCCCTTGAGTCAGCGCGAGCGCTGGAACTGCTTGCAGCACACGCGCTCCTCCCCGCCTGGCGGTGGCTCGGGCGGCCACTCTCCAGGCGCGTGTGTCTCCCGGGGTTAAGATGCCCAGGGCCCTACCCGCAGGGCGAATGATAGGAATCTGAGCCCAGACTCCCAAAAGTGAAGGTGGAGTGGTGGCCCGGGTGCTCCAAAGGGTGAAGGGCTCCGTGGTTGGCAGCCCTTCCGGAAGGTGGCTGCCACCCCCGGTGATGGAGAGGACACTATTGGGATTCAAAATCCAGAGGTTATCGTCCGCGCCTGTAGTCCTGATCAAAAAACTTCAGAACGGGAGAGGGCCTCGTCGGCTGGCTCAAAGAGAAGGGACTGGCCTGTCCGGAACTGGCTGCAGAAGGGCTGCCCTAGGTGGGTGAAGTCCTCTGGGCGCTGGGCATCAAAGACAGCACCGTGTTTACCTCAAAACTGAACACGCAGGGGAAAGCCAGAGTGGCAGCACCTGTCCTCTGTCGTGGCCATCTGTGACTCCAGGAGGGGACTGACCCAAGGCTCTGCCAGGACACAGTAACACTGTGGACCAGGCGGCATCCACCCCTCCACTACGTCTGATTCGCAGGAAGGACAAACCCAACAAGGCTGCCCTCTCAGTCCAGGTCGTTGTCCACACAGGTCTTGCTAGCTTTGACTCCCTCCTACCATTCACCTTGGGTAAAAAGCCCATTACATTTGCAGGGAGGAAGGGGAGGTGAGTGAACAATACTTACTGGTTAAAATATATATATATGTTGTATTTAGGAGGCTTTTTAAAAAGGAGCTTGTAGCACCTATTATATACTCCACTCTCATTTCAAACCCCCTGAGGATAAAGAACAAGGATTAAGACAGCCCTGTTCATCCTTGAGACACCCCAAGGAGATGAAATAGCATTATGTCTCTCTAACAGACAAAGATACCAAACCTACAGATAATTTGCCTTCAAGGTCATACATCAAGTCCATTTCAGAATTTATGGTAGTGAATTGGTATTCTGGTTCTGAAATTGGTATCCTCCAAAAGCTCCAAGCTGCTCATAGTAAATGATGCACAGTCACCCTAACTGCCCTGGCTCTCAGTTGTAAGAGTGATCCAGGATCCACAGCCTCCCAGGAAATGGCCCTCTGACAAGGTCTTCCATACTTTGGGTGTGCCCCCACCCACAGTGTCTTAAACCAGGAGCATGTGCTCAGTGACACCACAGCAAGCAGAAGGGGTGGTTTATGGACATTCCATTGAAACCTCAGTTTCCTCCTCTGTAAAATGAGGGAAATGCCTCCCTCTCGAGCTTGTTGGGGGTTTAAAATTAGAAAATACACAGTATCTGGCAAGCACCTGACAAACAGTGGCAATATTCTTTGTCCACTAGAAAAATAAGCTGAAGCTCTAAAATAGTGAAGTACAGGTTAAGTACATGGTTAGGATCTTATGCTATTAATGCTAGAAAAGCCAGAAAAAAAAATCTTAATATCCTAAATATCCATGATAATTTCCCCTCAATTCAACCACTCCTTCATTTAGTCCCCAGATGGATTTCCACTGCACTTTTGGCCTTAAGCGGCCTAGATGACTCTGCTTACCCCTAATGCTTCAGCTCCATCTCCTGCCACATGCCCCATTCCTTGCTACTCTTTAGTTCCCCAGGTCTTTCTGCTTTGATCATGGGAAGTTATTTCTCATCCCAAGGCCTTTATAGCATTGTTGGCCCCTTCTGTCTGGAAGGCTTTTCCCCAAGATTTTCATGTGATGGGTGCATTTCAAATGTCACCTCCTCAGAGACCCTCTCTGGTCCTCATCTAAAGTTGACCACCACCCCTGAAAGGCATCCCCTCCCATTACCTTGTTTTATTTCCTTGACAGCACTCTCCATGTGTGAAGTTATTTTATCTGTATATTTGTTCATAGTTATCTCCTTAAAATGGTCATAAGCTCTCTGAGGGCTGAGTCTTTTTCATTTTCTCCCCTGTATTCTGTGTGTGTGGAACAATAGGTAGCACATAATAGGAGCTCAGTAAATACTTGCTGAATGAATGAACTCAGTCAATCAATTGCCAATCTCATACTCACGTTTTCCTTATGCCATTAATTTTGCTGATGCATTTGTCTCTCTTTAGCAATGTGAATCCCCAGAGACAAGCTTTTCCAGGGTTGATAAACCGACCACCTACCCACTTACTGTTTTCCTTTTTTTTTAAATTGGCACTGAGCATTGGAGACTGCTTTGACTTCATTCTGAGGATGTGTGGGAAGCTTAGATGGACCTTCCAATTAATTCTCTGCTGGGAAATACAGGGAAAATAAATCCCTAATGCGGTACAAAATCTGGAAATGTTGCTGGTGCATCACAGCTGGAACTATTCATTTCACTTGTCATACTTATAATTTATTTATTTAGTTTTTGCAAAATGTCAAAAGAAGTCACCATGAATTTCGGTAAGGGTGATTCCATCTGGGGACACGGTTAAAAACTGAGAAGAGTCTTCAGAGGACAAATGTAAGACAGGTCTATTTTACTTCTTCCACTACAAAGAGACAACCCCCAGTTATCCTAATAAACTGAATGTCCTCCAATTTACCCCACTGTTAATTTTTTCATGTATTTCTTATCCCTCCTGCCCCTCCCTCTAGTTAACACATTCCTATTTGGACTTCTTTTCTGAATCCTATTCTTTTTAGGTCTTTTAGAGCTTACATTAGTCAAACACATTAAATACATTTTTAAAGATGTTTAGTTGCAGTGATACTTTCTAAATACTGCCTGTAGCTAGAGTTCCAGCTGAAGGATTTGTCATCCCTTGTTCTACCATCAAAAGCTCTCCTCTTCCTCTTGAGTTGTCTTTTCTAGTGAGTCCCTTGAGTGACAACACTTGGGAATCAAGTGTACAGCTATAGGATGAAAACGAGAGTCCACTTTTAAGATAGAAAAGAAGAGAAATAGATTTAGAAACACTATGCTCACCCAGATTTCAAGTTGAAAAATATAAATAATTTCACAGGAACAACCACGCTTAGCTCCACTTGAATAACCCCCTCCACGGAATCCTAACCATACTCTTTGGATCCTGAAATTTCTAAATGGAATACAATTTTTAAAAACCTCTTGATTACTTCAGGCTTTAGAATTGGTATTATAAACCTTCTCCTCTTGCTGTTTAAATGTCCCCCACCCCATCATCACCCTGCTAGAGAATGTCCCAGGGTAAGGTATGAGCATCTTTACCCATCAGACCCTTTGTCTTGTGTTGGTTTGTGCCTCGGCTATGCGACAGTCTGGAGATTCTTTGGCTTCTAAAATAAGTCTTGTGATTGTATTTAAATGTGTCAGGCATCAGGAATCTAATGCAAAGTTGCTCTGTCCATCTGCTTGTTTTCTACAGTACTGTACATTTTATCTCTGCACAGGCCTCTCCTCACTTGTATAGACTGACTTGCCACTTTGCTGCCAGCAGGAGCTACCTGTCAACTTGTTCTTCGCAAGCACGTCTCATATGAACTGCACAGAAACAGGCAGACCAGAAAGCATCAGAGCCGCCTGTTTCTGTGTGAGCCCTAGGCTTTTAGGCGAAGACCCTTTTATTCCAAATATGAAGAGTAGAGATCCTTACTTTCTATCTCTACAAAGGGCTCCAGAAGGCAATTTAGGAAGAGAAAAACAAACAACTAAACTCTCATAATGTGAAATGAAATAAAAGTCCTGAAAAAATACTGGGGACTGTTAACATGGCTATAAATACATCTAAGGGTTTCACTGACACCATAAAACAGT